ACGTTGCTACGCGACTTGATATGTTACGAATCCGTGATTACTTGATTATTCACAGATCGCGATGCTAGCGAATGCTGTGATTTCCAAATTTGTCGTGGCAATTGCACATAAAAGTTACTGACTACTTAGCCAGAGCGAGGTGTTACTTAAATAGCTCCTTTTAAACATTCTAGAACAAGAACCTTACTTTAATAGAAGACTGTTCGTTCGTGAAGATTTCATATCTCCAGGCGACTAGTAATTTCTTAACGAAAACGTCTCGCTTTAAACTGTAAATAAAAAGGTTGAAGAGTTTAAGAGTGAATGTCAACTAATATCGAGCAAGGGACGGCACATGATGAAAAATCAAAATCATATACCTATAATCGTGGTGGGGTTTGTTTTTTGAAATGTGTTTTTAAACGCGAAAAAATTACGAAAAACTAACGGTACCCGAATTTCGTCAAAACACCCGAATTACAATGTCGCAAGTAGCATTCCATTACGTGTTGTTCCTTCCAATAATACTTGATATCCAATCAAAAAAAACCTTATAAGTTGCTAGATTAGGTGTGTTTCGAAGTACTCAGAGCAATAAAATCACTTCGCTGTCGGATTAAGAATATCAATTGTGAGACTAAAGTTTTGCTTAATTTATGCAAGAAAAATGTTACTTTTTATGCATATATTAAAAGTCAAAGTTTTCTATCCGGTACTTCTCCAATTCCTTTGAAACTAGCAGGTTTGAATAATCAAAGAAAAAGCTTGAAGTGGATTAAAAAATTTTCTTGGGGTATTTTATTGTTGCGAAGTTATTGGGGTCCAAATATTGGTGAAATATCAGAATTCGCTCCAAATGCAAAAAAAAATACTAGGCACAACTTATAAAACGTAAAACTTAAAACACAAAAATCGGCCTATCAGTGATAATATGAGGCTCAAAAGTTTATTTTCTGTTAATAATTTTGGTAAAAAGGAGAATTTCTTTTGTTACAATAAGTCTGTTCTATGGATATTAAACGCACCCATTTCATAAGGCGAGATTATTTGTCACGGAATCAGTTTGGTTATTCTTAGGTTATGAAAATATCTTAAGATTCCGAAATCAAAGTAACGAAATGTACCAAAAAAATGTTAAAATTTATAGTACAAGAGATTTATATATTTAAAAGGACAATATAGTATTTGAACAAAAAAATGTATAGACATATTTGCATATAATACCAACACAGTCACGTAACACTGTTAGTGCGTGACGAGCTTAACACACGTCAAAATGGAATCGCAGATCTCTTGCTCATTCCAAAAGGTAACTGGAGGTGCTTGTGGACTGGATACCCGTTATAAAAACAACGCTGTCGTACCCTTGTTATCTTGTGAAAGAGATATTTCAGCTCATATTCGACGCATCGGGGTGAATGACGTAGAGAATGAAGTAGATCTAATTTTAGCACGATCATCAGTATTTTCAACTCCAAATGACTTAGCTTCCTGGACTATTTGTCCTAAACATCGATATTCTCTTGGTATTGGTTGGCGTAGAGCAGAACGGTGCAGAATTCCACCTCCAATATCTCAGCATGGTTCAAAAGTAAAGTCAATAAAGGCGGACCGTGCAATAAGTAAATCGTACTCAAAGACGGTTCTAAAGAAAACGGGAGTGTTTACTCCTGTTGGATCTGGTATGTAAACGCTATTCAATGTTGTTCGTGTTAGGATTCTGATGTGCATCCTTTCATTTATCACGGTTTTAATAACCAACACAATTATAAATTGTCAGTATTCACTGAGGTTCCTAATTGCAACACATTAACAATGTCTATGAAATCTACAACATTTCGCGACACACACTCCTCAGCTTTTTCGCGGGAAAAGTTATTTTGTTACAATATGAAGTTCTCATTATAATACTACCTTTAAATAGTTATTTATCCTATTCAATAACATAAATATGTTATTGTACTTTAGTTATATGCTTTTCCACCAGGAAAAAATATCACGTCCTTGGTAGTGTATTTTATATTCAAAAACTCATTAATTATTCATGAGGTATTCAGCCAATCCCTGATTGTAATTTGTACCACGTGAAGTAACTTGAAACCAGAGGAAGTACTCGTACCTTGTATTCTACCTTATTTCCAGTCACTTCTACCTTTTCAAGTTACTTCTACATTATTTCCAGCTATTTCTACCTTATTTCCAGTTACTTCTACCATGTTTCCAACTACTACTAGCTAATGATAATCAAATTATTAGAAATAATCAGTTTAACATTAATTTAGTGAAAAAAGGTCTTTGATACATGACTCCCTCACGACTCGATCCCCTACCGTCCAGTCTATATGCGCCGTCTTATACCATTACACCACCGAGTTTCTGATGCGATTCCTCGGAAGATAACATACTTATAAATCTTATGGATTAGGCTCATTAGGAATGCCATGAATAGCAGACAAAGACAATTTGAATAGCTTTTGTTTCAGAAAGCCGTCCGGGAATTGAAGAACAACAAACGGTGCTTCATGTATTCAAAATTATGAAAACTGAAAACCTTAGTGGAGATGCAATAAATCAATATATTTCTGTTATATGTATTTCCTTCGCTTTTTTTCCCTCCCGAATAATTAATGAGTTTTTGAAGTCGTTCAAAGGCCTCCAATTCGGACTTGACGGGATTTCAAAGTCCTTGCAATTAGTTCCAGTCCTCGGCTAGCGCCTCGGACTGGAACTAATTGCGCGGACTTTGAAACCCCGTCAAGTCCTCATTGTCGGCCTTTAAACATTACTTCAA